CTAGAGGTTCCGTTGCTCCAATACCCCTTCCAGGTTCCGCAACCTTTACGATCTGCCTTTTTCTATACTGTGTAGCCAGAGAACCAGACCCCAGAATAGTTTCAAAAAAGAGAAATTTCACGGTGTTCTCCGATCCCATCGTGAAATGCTGCCACTCAGTCTACCCTCATTTGCTCATTTGGGATTGTAGTGACAATCGAGTAGAATCTTTTGAGTCGCATCACCTTAAGGGAAACATTGATACGCGTTTCAGTCTGCTTATCCTCCTCTAGGGATCTGGTTGCCCATCTCAGGAATAGATGGCTCCATTGACGTGGGTGGGCAGAGGTGGTGTAATCTCAGATGGCGCACTATCACACCCTTGTCCCGGGAGCGATCCCTAATCGGCATCCGAGCAGTCTAACAAAGCCTTTCGTCCTTCCTAGGTCTATTTCTTGGTACCAGACTCATTTTGGAGGATGTAAGCACTTGCTTGTACATGGGCTGACTACCCCGATGTGACCATTCTTATTTAAAACGCCATTACGATCCCACAGAAGAGTTGAGTGCAGGGCACACTCCAAAAAGCTTTGATTGATTTCAAAAGACTTCAGTGAACGAACTGTTCATATTTGAGCTATTATTACTAGTTGTGACGAAGCTGTAGTTAATTTTACATCAATTGTTTTTTTTACTCACAGCAACATTTTTACTTCTTATCATCCATTATGTTCCCGTTTTAACTTCACAAACAAAAAAAAAATGAGACGGATGATAGCCCTTGTAAGAAAAAAATCAGAAGAAAAAACGGCTCATTCTTGAAGGGTCTTCTTTCCAACGAAAGTACTCAACTACCCTTCAAGGACGATCATAATAGGGTTGTAGAAGAGCGAACTCAGCGAAAATTAATCCAGTAATGACCTCAAAGTATAACCGTTAGAGTCAGAGGCTCGCAAAAGTGCTTTCTCTAGACATTTTCATTCTAGTCTGCTCTATTCACGTGGTGCCTCCTTTAGAAATTTATCCTTTCGAGGTCTTCCTGTTACTAGGATGATAGAGAGACATTTCGTACATTCGAATTCCTAGAATGGTGAGGATTCAGGTATGACGTCTTTGAGAGCTGATTGACAGACTTCCATGGTTCGCAATTGGCTTTCAGAAGTGCCGGTACTTGTCACGAAAGTTCAGTGGACGATTTCATTCTCAATGAACTTCCTTGTATTGGTCGGATGGGGCCTCCTGCTACTCAGAGACTCTACTGATCAAATATCTCTTCCTTTCACTCAAAAAGCGGATCTTACTATTATTCAGTTGCCGAAAGACCAAATCCAAATGGCCTGTGAATGTTTGATGCTCGTAGGGGGAAAATGAGTGATGACAACTAATGCATTCACCACCATGCAATCCTGTAATACCGTGGGAACTCCGGGAGCATGAAGACCAGAAAGCAGTGCCAAGCTGTTGGATCGGAAGACGAGCCCTCACTCACACCTAACCGAATCTCAGCGCCATCATGTCCACCACTTCTGCAGGGTCGGTAAGTGTAAGGGCATAGAGGTTTGGCCTATTGAACCATCTCTTGATTACGTACTGGAGTCGAATGCATGGCTCAATCTAGAGACTTCAATCATTCCGAAAACGTTCATAGTTGCGCTCTGAATGTTTTTTTTTCAAGAAAAAAAACCTGTGATGGAATAGTTGGTCACTGCTTTCACCAGGCTCAATGCACAGAAAAACATCCTGAGCTTCTTTAATTCTTCTCGGTTTCCTGCGAGATTCTGCGATTCCGAACGGCGGTCGTGTGCTCTTCTCTTTTTCCTTTTTTTTTTGAATGTCAACTGGAAAGCTTCATGAACCACCGTAATCCACTGCCTGAAACAATCATGTATAAAAGTACTATGTAGTGAGCTCCAATTGTTATCTTTCCCGGAAATTCGAGCTTTTTTTTGAGAACATCGAAGTAAAAACCCCGAAAAAGTCATCAGTAATGCTGCTACGGAGTCTGCTTGAGTTCATCTGGATGCATTGTAGTAGGTAAACACGTCCAGGCTCCACCCACTTACTCTTTGCTATCAATCAGACTTCTTTTACCTTTGACTGGTTTTACGGCTCACGTTTTCGATCTCTTCTTTCCTATCCGAAATCGTTAAGGCTCGGTGTAAGATCGGCCGCTACGGTTATTGATCGGCCTATTCAATGTAAGCCGTGCTTCAACATTCATCCTGGATTGTTGATGTATTGGAAGGTATGTACCTTAGCCTTGAGCGATCCCATTACCTGTCTTCATCTACCTCCTATACAATGCACTGGGCAGATTTCACAGAGAAATGAGCTTTCATAAGCGATTTAGACTTTCGATGTTATGGGACGTAACCTCCTCGGATTTATCACATTTACCGGCAGCCATTGGCGAACTGTAGGGTACCTCGAGAAGTTGGCTGATTCTGCCTAAAACAACAAACTAGATTCCAGTTAGGCGGTTACTAAGCTAATACTGTAGTTCGGTTAAAACTTACCCTCAGAAGGCGATTGTGTGAAAAGTAATATTCGACAAAAATCCCTGGAAATTCTATCTGCCCTTCGTGATTTAGAGACAAGATCGACCGAGATTCTTCTGGACACCATCTCTTTCATGGCGAAGGCTTTATATGTGGCTATGTTCAAAGGGCAAAGTTGGTCAGTGAAACCTTCGAGGATCCATTTTCGCTGGTGGTCTTGGCTCATTGAATTACGTAACCAATCCTTTCGAGGCTATTACCCGTACTCTATAGTACAGTCATCGATGCCCGAACTCCTAGAAGGAGAATGACTCTACTAACGTTTCCTGGAATCTTTCGAAAACAAAGTTCTGCGGGGGCGGTTGCTTAATTGGCAATCTGCCCATAAAAAAATCCAATCCTTCATCCCTTCCCTGAATGGGCCATGCATCCAACTCCAAATTTGAAGTTCGTTCAGTTCAATGCGCATTTGACCTTAACGCTGAACTATGTTGCAGGTCTGTCTCATTTAAGTACGTTTTAGAGAAACCTTCAAAGTTTAATCTGATATACCTTTTAGATAAGTGCAGGGCTTTACTGAACTCGGCGACATTCATTCTGTAGGCTTCGTTTGCAGTAGCAGCCACTTCTCCTCTGCTCTACTTCTCCCAGATTAACCTACTGATTCATCCATGACCTTTTTCATGGGTGTTTCTGGCTGTCCCCATGATGAACAGTTGATTAATTACGTTTTGATAGGTTCAGGGGTACCTTCCCGTTCCGACGAATAGTTCACAGACTAATATGGGGGCATAAAATGTTACGAACGTCGTCTGATCATAAAGTCGTTTTCAGTTGGAGAATGATGAGTACAGGGGCTCAACAGGCACGCAAAGCAAGGGAGAGGGGCAAATAAGGGCTCTACCCATTGGATTGACCCAAAGTCAAAGGATTCGACTAGGGGTCGAGCTTTGCCAAGGACAGGGCTTTCCACTGCACTAGACAAAATATTGAAGGGTAGCTGCTTCCCTGGGAAAGCTCGTTTTCTTCTCAGACAGTCGATTCCCAAGCGGTTCTGGTTGCCCGTCTACGAGATGGTGTGCGTCAGAGGTTTTGAGCCACACCCGCACCATAAACTATTGTCTCCCCTGGAGTAGGCAACTTCCGCCCAAGTCATCTGTTTACCATTCAAACAAAACAAACACAATTGTAGTAGTGTTATTGCCTTGTTTTCTGGGTAGGTAACAATCTCATGGATTCAAGTAATTACCTCCGAGCCTAGTCGAAGCCATTTTCACACGAGATACCAGTTACCCATTTTCTCCAAAGACCTAAGCCTTTTCCCATGTTTTCGTGCTCGATATGATTGAAACGAGGGGTGTCCATCTGTGTCGTTTCCATAACTTTCCCGGGATGATAAGGAATTTATAATTTATTCAAATTGAGTGGGCTCACTTCCCAAAAAACACGTCATGTGGGCACATCTCAGTATAAAAACCCTGTCCTGTCCTTAGAAGGACATCCCACTTCTTGGACAACCTCAACTTCACCTACTATCTGCCTTGAACTTGTTTGTTTGTTCCGTATAAGGCTCTGATCAAGCTCCTTGAAGCTCCCTGGAAGATGACTATCGCCGACAAAGATGCTGCTTTGGCAAACGGACGAACTGGCTAGGATTTTTGGTTTTTGTATAAGTTGATACTGAACGCCAGACTAAAGCCCGTTAAAGCAAAAAAAGTTGTGTGTGCGGTTCCGGAAACCCTTCAGCACTTTTCAACGGATTCCCTATGTCTACGGGCTTCCGAGATCATCACTGGGAGTGAGTGACTCTTTGAGATCCCATATTCTTTTATACTTTGCCGAATTTCCCTCAGGTGAATACCGAAGTTGGTCTCAACCGTACGCAGCGCCAAAGTATAAACCGCAGGTGACTCTGGGCATATCGACTTACCCATATCCTTTGGCCTTCGAAATACAAGGAACACATTAACCTAACAGGTGAAGCGATCCCAGGACCAGACGTTTTCCTATGAACAGGATTTTTCTGCTGGTTCGAGTCCCGTCTGAGGCCGAATTTTGGCCATAACTCGTCAACCTTGTGAGAAATTTTTTCATCACACTCTTACTGTAAGCATTTTTCCAGGCGCCAAACTTGTAACGGAAAGTTAAAGAAAGTGTTATGGAAAAATTTTACGTGGGTGTTTGTAGAAAAAAATTCTAAATTGTTTTTTTTCAAAGTATTACAGCGAGTTACCACATCAGCCTAATTTCGTAATAAAAATTCTAGGAGTTTTCCGCATGGATAATTTTTTCTCGGGCTTTTTTTCAGGAAAACGATGTGTAGGCACTCATGGAATATTGCCGACACCGAAAAAGCATGGATCCCATCTGTTGGCCAAAATTAGATCATCACCTCACCTATGAAGATGACAGAGTTATGCTGTGGTGAGACTTTTCTTGAGAGGGAGAAACCTCTTACCTCAGGCTCAGTTACTGGTATGTACTTATCATACGTTGACCTTACCAAATGGGGGATTCTAAGAAGGTATAGGACAATGGGTAGAGACGTAACGAATGACTCTTTTACGACTATTCAGATCGGACTCGGAAAACGTCACCTTCATTATACCCTATTCGCTAACCGAGAGTAGTTTACCGACATCAGGTTCATCCTCTTCAACCATCCCCTCCTAACTGTTCGGAATCAGCGGTAGTCACTCATTTGGTGTATTCTCCACACCTTCATCCTTAGACTTGCATATTCCAGTAAGTAGTGACGTACCAAACTTAACTCTCGTAGCTGTGATGGGGTAAAAGTTGCCCTTAAGTTGCACCCATACCGTTCCATGCGTAGGTGGTGCTAAAGTACTGGTGGAGTTTTCATGGAATTCAGGTGACGATGTGAATGATGGACGGGTCGATGGGTTTCGTAATTAGACCCCTCCGCCTACTCGTCCGATTTTGTTTTTGAATTGGTTACGTAAGTCCGACTGGAATCGTCACGAAAGGGAGACTCGTCGTTCCATCCCCCACCTGAACGCCTCCTCCGCCACCCTATGTCTTCGTTGCCCACCTCCTTCTCCTGTGTACACCCCATTTACCACACCTGCCTCTTCTTAAGGAATCATGTGCGATTTAAAGTAAGATGCATGGCGCATACTCGAAGAATCAATAACGGTTACCCTACTCCTCATTCTCCTACCTTCAAAATTATAGAGTACTGTGAAGGCTGAAGAGCCTAGCTGATTAGTAACCTATGCTTCACTCTATTCAATCCCTCGTCCTTTTACCTCTTCCACTATCTTTCGATCTTGCCACGTCCATGAATCCACTATTCTCTGGTTTCGATTGGATCGTATGGCTACTTTTTTTCCTTCTTATGATTTCGAGATTTCGTGTTTTTCGAGAGATTCGTCGCTAATTCGTGTCATGTGGTCTCGATAAGAATTGTTCAGGTACGGTAATTCCAGAGAGCAATATGCGATTTGTGCTTGTCACTATTATTGTCGCTCTATGCATTGGCATTTCTCTCTCACAGATGACATTCAGCGACCATTGGAGTAAGAAAAGCTTACCCGGACCAGCTTTCCCACGATACAAGCCAAGAGAGAGGTCAGTTTTTGTTGTATGTTGACAGTTAGTGCTCATTTCTTCAGGGATTCCTCACACGTGACAAATCCCCCTATTTAGCCTCATGTAATGCTAATCCAGATCCACAGATAGACCCGGTCCGTAGAATGACCTTGATCCCTAAGGGCATTACTAGAACATGGTATTATAGGCAGTAGACGCCATCACTGTCTACGTTCCAAAACTTGAGTCATCCCTAATGATTGCCTAGGACAACTCGTGAAAAGAACCTCAGGACTGGCATTTTGCCATGAAATGTCACCCCTACCTACTACTTATTGAAATGTCAGGTACGAGAATTCGCTGAATACGCAGAAATTGCACATCCCAGGCCTAGGAATGTGCTAATTCAATTACTATAGTTCCAGAAGCAGTAAGGTGGGAATTTCCTACCACCACTCTCCCACAGGATGAGATTATTTGAGCGGCCTAGTTTGGCCCTCTGTCAGTCTGGGCAAAGCTAAGCTAATCCCTTGGATGATTTTAACGAAAAACCAAGATTTATGAGAAGCGTTTCGAAAATACAGCCAATACATGGGAAAAAAGGCAGCATTCGTTTTATCAGTCAGCTTCTGATACAGAAACAATTCAGAAGGAGGTTTTTCGTGAACAAAATTCGTGAAAGGGTGGCCCTGGCCCATATGTTGCTATAATTTGTTTCCATGACCTCTCTCATCTAGAGATTACCATCAGTTTAGTTAGCAATATGAGATACGTGACGGGCAGAGAGCATATAGGGAAAGAGTAGTGAGGGGATGGTTAACGATTTTTTTCGCTGACGTCCGTCGGAGAAGTTAGACTGCTAGTTATCGAAGCTGATCTGCTTGGAGCGGTTATGGCACCGCTTGGGCCGGTGGAGCGGGAGCAGGTCAGGTGTTGGTTGTTGGACTGTGCTTTTCTGTCTCGAGCTAAGATAGTCATCAGGGTATGTGAGCAGGTCATAAAGGCGCGAAGTCGAAGCTTAATCTCCTGAGTTTTGACGCCTCATGTGATCCTTGACGACAGCGCATCGGGTAAAGAACCTGTTCCACTGCTGACAGGTCGAGGGTGCAATTCCTTGGGAATTCAGTCCGTCTCTATATGAGTTTTGTATGTTGTATGAACGTTTTAAGACTATTTTTCGGCTTACCGGGCGGAGGTGGTGAGGTGGCACTTTACATACGCATGATCACGGCTTCGAATCCCGGGTTGATATCCGGCTAGGCCAACCAAGCCTTCTATCCCTCCGGGGTCGGTTATTGATACCAGACTTGTGGAGGATAAAAGTACCGACTAGTACATCGGCTGGCCTCCGCAAGTCATTGTATAGGCCGCATACCCATTCAAACCGCTACTATGATTTTGAATGGAAGTCGAATGCATTGGGCGCATACCCTCGACGGGACTGATTCTCCAAGACTTTTGTCCTTTATTTAATATTATGAATTGAGGCTAATGAAACCTCTTGCTAAAATAAAAAAANAAAAAAAGGTTGTCAGTCCACCTGTGCTGGACAGTAGAGGTTTAGCATTTTGTGAGACAGTAGGTCAGGCCGTAGCTCATATCCTGAATGCGCGGTTACGACGCAACGCAGTGGTGCAACCTTGTAATTCCCTTTCCTAGTAACCTTATTTGCTTGGTGAAGGCCTTATGAGGTCTCCTTTAATGGGTAGTGTATATGGCGAGCTTTTCTTGGTGGTTTCCTCGATCTCATTACGTGCGGATACTGTATTCAAAAGTCCGTGGGCTGCAAAATCAGTTCAAGATGAGTAACTTGGACGTCAAAACTACTCATTTAACCTTGCACTAAACTAATTTTCACAGTTATCATGCTCAAATTTTGGATTTCAGTGAGTCGTCTTCACAACAAAAACCGGCTCAGCAACAGCAATTTTGTCAAGAAGAAAAAGTGACGGATGCATTAGCACAGCTGGCTCAACTTGGTGAAGCGCAGAACATGCTTACCAGCTATCTCAACACTTGCTATCAAAGTCGACCCCGAGTCTGACGACCCACACGGATCTCATCAAGAACTCATCTCTCACATCATCTCATCTCGGTCTTCGTGTTGTTGTTTGTGTCGTTGAATGTTGTCATAGTCAAACTCTGCGTCGGTCTTGATAAAACGTATTTATTAGTTATAGCATGACTTACTTCAGGATAAATTCTATGGCAATTGAAGATCAAAGTGACTAATTATACCAGATCTTTCAAAAAATGCTTTCGGAAAAAGTTCACACAACTCATAATCTCATTAGGAAGATTTGAGTTGTCGAGGCTGATCAAATCCCTTTCGGGACGGTCCTTGCATGCGATTTCGAAGGGTTTGAAAAAGGGTTCGAATCTCAAATAGTCAATTGCCAATCGGAGAGCCACTAACAATAGGTGCTCAAGAAGCAGTGGCTAACGGCAGTACGAGTGCAGACGGCTGCAAAACAAACAATCTCCTGACAACATTAGCAAGTTGTAGGCAAAACTTCGGCCTTGGACGGAACTCGAACCATACTTTTGTTTTACGGATGCCGTCCTACAGGGATTTCCACAATAGGGAGACCTGCTTGCACAGATGCTCATCGCAATGATTGTACCAAAAGCAAAGAAAATCGTCAAGAACAAGAGAAAGCAGTCGGCTTGGAATTCATTTCTTTCTTCGACGTAGTTGCTATACACTCGTCAGTACCAAAAGCACCTTCTGGTTCTCGAACTATCCGTTCTCGACTACCTTTGCCTGCTCTCTCTGAATCAGTGAATTTTTACAAGTTCAACAGGATGACGTACGCTGCTGGAGGTCCGATGGGCCGAGCCCTGCTGGGCCAAGCTGCCCGCCGGCCCATCGAACAGCTCGGTTAAGCCGAAGTAGGCCTCAGCCGACATCAAACTGGATGGCAGGCTCACACAGCCGAGGGTGAAGCCCGAGCAATGTGGTCCCACGGTGTAGCGGATAAGAGTCCGGACTCACTGTTGAGAAGTGGTGTGTTCGGATTCGCGGCGTGACGCCTCGAATTTTTTGCTTGAGTCGTCGCATGAAAGCGCATTCAAGCTGGGCCATACCTGTATTTAGGTTAACAAACTTTGCATAAAGTGTGGATTCCGAAACACAGCGGATTCCCTACATAAGCGTTAATTTGAGCATTTCAGGACTTCCCACTCAACGATATCCTCAGCAAATCACGACGCTTCACTCTTAGAATGTTCATGTCAAAGGAATCCTTCAGCCTCCGGAAAGTTGACGATTAGCAGATTGCAACCCCTATCTAGTCTAACAATAAATAGGTCTTTTTCTCTCCACAGAACGGTATGAATGCAAAGGGAATGCAGTACTGAATGGCAGTACGAACCAAGGAACCAGACATTCTTGAACTGAGCGCACACACTTGAAAACTACCCGGAAAATGCACCATTTCATAACCGCCAAAGTTGGGCAAGATCAACCCTCCCAAGCTTCTCTGAGGATTTCAATGCCCCAGAGGTGAATGACACACCTCCGGTTTCAGACGTCACAAGCAGAAATGGTAGCGGGACCAGTTTACCGTTGGGTTGCAGATCGGCTCAGAAAGTGGGGAAAAAGGTAACACGGTCTAGTGCAAGTCACTCGCTCCACTTACTGGTGCTGAAATGTCATCCCGAGATCGTAGTGGGCTGCGNGCAAAACTTCGGCCTTGGACGGAACTCGAACCATACTTGTGTTTTATGAGTGCCGCCTTTCCGGGATTCTCACAACAGGGAGCCCTGCTTGCACAGTTGCTCACCGCAATGATTGTACCAAAAGCAAAGAAAATCGTCAAGA